TTATAATCTAATGATACTTCTAATGTTCCTTTTGCTTTTTAGGTTGATGCTGTACTATACTATGGGGATCATTATCGCTTTATTCTCATACTCCAAATTATTGCTTTAGCTCCTAATTGTTTATTTTACTATAGAGAAGCTTTAATAAGGTACTACTCCCTCTGTTTGACAATAGTTGTTCATTATTGACTTTGCACGGGAATAAAAAGTAGTAAATGATAGGAGTAATTTTACTAAATCACCCTTATTAAATATAAGTCATCTAAACATTGAAAAATGAATAATATTTAATAGCATGGGTAAAATAGACCACAAAATGATAAATTATTCATTTTTTATAAGCTGGACAAGGATTATTGAATATCCCAAAATAATATAATGGACAATTAAAGATGGACGGAGAGAGTAATATTCAAAAAATTTGAGAGGGCAAATTAATTAACTCTATCTCCATTAATTAAAGCAGTAGGTCTAAATTATATTTGCATGATGAAGGTTTAATATAATGTATAACTAGATGGATTAATTCTCATTAACTTTGCATTTATAACTCATAAATAATTGGCATCTTACAACTTACAAGCAAGGCCTCAAAGAAGAAGAAAATTAATAATGATATTTATGAAAATCCAGAATTTAAAACCAGTGGGTGCAGCAGTTAGCAATATTAATGTACACAAAATAAGAAAAAATGATTTTCCATATAATTTTAATGCATTAGTTTATATTGCTTGCTTCAATTAATAATCAGATGTTGTTGCTCTCAAATGCACATGCAAGCACATGTGATCGCTAAGTAATATAGTGACATTTCAATGAATTAGATTTATAAAATCGTAACATACGTTTCTACTTTTATATTCAAAATTAATCATTTAGAACTCTGATTTTTAGTTCATTTTCTTTTCTTTTAATAGTTTGATTGTGATTTTTTTTCTATATTTCTTGAGTATGAATGTGTGATGAGTTATAATTGAACTTATTGATAGTACATGGAAAAACAAGTTAAATATCAACCTCACAAGGACTTGATTTTATGATTTATTCAATAAACTACTGTAAAAAAAATGATTAATTACTCTAATTTACGCTAGCTAATATTGATATGTAAGGATTTAACACAATATGAGATGATATTCCTAATTTATTCTTATTATTAATTATAGTCATTTTCCTATTATGTTTTTTAAGATATTGTATTTATTATATTCAAAGGCTGATATAGTAAAATTACCCTTCTATTTATAATTTCTTAAGAATTACGCTAAGTCAATAGTGGACAAGTATTGATGAACAGAGCAAGTAGCATGAAATAAATATCTAAATACACCTAACATCAATAAGAATTATCGATCTCCTGCTTTTAGGCATGAAATACAACAATGATGTGTGTGCCACCATATCATGGTAATTAGATCGTCTAATTAGTTAAAATATATAAATATATGATTTATTTTGGATAATTATAAGGTGCAATTTATGTCTTGTCTCAATTGAATTACAATGGTTAAGTAATATAACTTGATGTAAGAATACTTATTATTAGGTGAATTTTTTTAGACAAAAGATATGATTATGAGTTTGATTCATTTACACATGTAAAAATAGCAGCACATGATTTGACGAAAATAAAATGATTTAGTTTAAGTGCTTATACTCAAATGAAAGAAATATTTCATTTTGAAAGTTGGATTATTACCCGTTATGGATGTAGTGCAGCAAATGAAGTTGTTTCTCCTTTAATCAGAGGTTTTGAATTCTAGTCTTGGGAATGAAAAAATACATTGGCAAGCGCTTCTCCACAAATAGATCCCTACGCGGCGCGAATCTGTAGTCAAACTCCAATACAAATATCGAATCCGGATGAAAATTAAAAAAAAATGGATTATTGGTTTATTATAATATATCTTATCCTTGGCCAGCACATTGTGCAAATGGGTGGTAGTCCTATTTCTTTTTCTTGTGATTAAATGCTCCTCACTTTATTCCTTTGACCAATTTTGCAAATTAAGCCAACTACGTGATTCTCAATAATTATAATTAATTCCTCCATTTTATTTATGCAACTTCAAAATTAGCAACTTATTTATGAAAAATAGTTATAGTTTAAAAATATTATAAAAAAAGAAGGCAATATGTTATTTTTATAGCAAACTTTCCTTCTCTCCCTTGCCTCTCTTCCCTCTCGCTTGCCCTCTCCTCTCTCCCTCTGTTTTTTTCTCTCCTGTCACTAAGAAGAAATTCATTCAAATGTATTATGTGTCAATTGTATTCAGTCAAATATATGTGAGAGTTTTGTATTTTATTTCAATTGTATTCGAAAAACTATATTATGTACTTTCTTATATCAATTGTATTTGTATTCATACTTATACATATGCAATCATCCTCTCAGTAAAGTGTATTTGTATCCAATCAAAGAGAAGATGAATATAGTTGTATTAGTTGTATTTTGAATACAATTGATACAAAATAAATAAAGAATACAATGCAAAATAAATACAAAATATAATTCATTGTATTTCGAATACAATTGGTACAAAATAAATATAGAATACAATGCAAAAATAAATATAAAATACAATCCTCTCTCCTCCCTCTCTCGATCTTGTTCGCCTCTCTCCTCCCTCTCTCGATCTCGCTCGTCTCTCTCCTCTTAATATGTATTCATTTTGATACAAATCAATTTGTATTTGTATTTTTTTTCCTCCAAAAATTGCAAAAAAAAAATACACTCTCTCCTCTCTTTCTCTCCCAGATCTCACTCGTCTTTCTCCTCCCTCCTCCCCTAACATTTAGCTTTTATTCAAAATTAAGCAAGTTATAGTTATAAAGTCCTATTTAAGACTTAATATTTGCTATTTTTAAAATTTTCCCTTGATTTTTTGCTTATTTGTTCGTATAATATTTTCAATGGGCCGATTTGACTTTAGTAAGGACTTCTTTTTTATTTTGAATAAATGGGCTTTGAAATAAATTTGTTGGGTTGGGGGTGGGGGGGGGGGGATTCTGTTTGGGAGTGAAGGGCCAAAAAGTTTGAATTGTTGGGGTTAAAATGTAAGTATTTTAGGTATAGCAACCCGATATAAAAATACTAAAACAAAATCAATAAATCAATAACTTTTCGATTTTGAACAATTCTACTTGACACAATTCATCTTTTGGAGTGCATTAAGGTAACTTTACAAACTTTGGTTCTTTAACAATTTGAGATTTTTTTAACGGATTAATCGATAATACAATAGTAAATTAATAGATTATATTTATGTCATTCAATATATTGAATCATTTAGTTTCATACTTTCATTTCTAATTGCCTCAAACTTTTGATTATTCTATAAAGTATCAATGTTTTTTTGGAGCAAAAGATGTAATTTATCAAGTTATAATATACATGATTCATTTGATTTGTCACCTTATTTCTAAGTGATTTTCAATATATATTAAAAAAACTATGTAAAATCTTAACGGTTAAATTAATAACAATCAATAATCGATAAATCAATATTGTAATGATTCAATAACAATTTAGCATGTTTACAAATCGGCATTCAATAAGTCAAATAAAAAACATCAAAACCTAATTGAATTGATCGATACACATTCCTAGTGACAAGTTATATCAAAATGAAAGGTGTAAATTTCATTGGTGAAACTAAAAAAGGGTCAAGGCTACTGTTTAATCGTTCCTTGAACCATTAAAAGATGTAGCGCAGCAAATGAGACTATTTCTCCCTTAGATAAAGATTTTGACATTAGAGTTTTGAATATAGAAAAATTCTTGATACAAAATGATAATAAAATTCTAGATGACCCAAATTCAAAATAATCGAACTTCAATACGAGTATCGAATATGAAAAAAATATAATAGTTGGTTGAGATATAATGAGACATGCATACATGGTACGCACGTGGTCAGTGGTGTCCCATGAAAACGATGGTCCACGTGTTACAATTTTGGACACTTATGCATAGGACCCAAAGCCCAGCCCATTTAAGAGTGCGTAATTGGGCCCCCAATTTTATATTCTTATCTGAAAAGAGTAACTGAAAGCGATGTTTTGGGCCCACAAGCCCACTCTCTTTCTTTACACCGTACGCTTTCTGCCACGTTAACACAGCCCATCTCTATCAATGGGCCCTCTGTTATAAATGGGCCCATGGGCTTTAAGAGCTTCTGTGGTATACGATACTCTGCTTGCGTGGCATTTGTCTACTCACTATAAGATTGTTTTTTGTTTTTTTGGTTTTTTTATGATGATGGGTAAATTATAGTTTTGCAGTATTTCTTAATTTCTTGTTTGATTATAAAGTTTGGAATAACTATTTCGTGATAATAATAAAGAAGCATTCATGAAAATACTCCTAAATTTAGTGCGGATTATTAGTACTATTCTTAAATTATTGACAGTTTTAAAGCATTCATTTACTTGACTAATTAACTAAACTGAACTACATCCTCGATCTTACAACATGAATGAAATACACCCCTAAATTATCGTTAAATTTAGGAGTGTTTTCAGCACTTTGCTCAACTTTTTATTAAGAGCTTCATACTTCTACAAGAGTTTGAGACCACTTGTTATATCATGTTGCATATCAACGGTATATTTAAGTTTAATTAGACAAGTTCAAAATGCTTTTAAGGCAGTCAATAATTCAAATACAAAACCAATAATTTAGACGGCCAATAAATCAAGCACAAAACTAATAATTTGCATTATACTTCTCTCTCAATAATAAGTAATGAGATAAGTAAAGAATCTTTTGATCTGATTAGTACTGTTATTCCCTTATTCTTCTGTCCTAATTGAATGACACACTTTCAATGTCCTAATAAACATATGTAAGTCAAATTACGATCTTAAATTGGACACGTATCTAATAAAAAATTTATCGCATAAATTTACACAAACAAATTCAATAACTTTTATTTAAATGATCTCATAGTCAGAGCAGAACTTTGTCTTCATAGGAGGAAATTCATTAAATATACATAAATTTTAACAGTAAACTTTGTAACTAACTAAAATGACACGTAAATTTCATATCATTACTTCGCCTCTACTCGTAGCTCTTGCATGCCTTCTTCCCTCATTGCATCCACAATAGGTTCCATCAGAATTAAATTAAAGCTTGAAACAGCTTAATGTAAAGTAACAAATGAAAGTACTACCAACAAGAGTCGTAGTAGAGTGGTAAGCAGAGGCGGATCCACGTGGATTCTAGGGGATTTGTTCAAATCCCCTAAGCAAAAAATTACACGACATCTATAAGGTAAATTTTATGTATTTATGTAGATATATTAATTTTAAACTCTCTCATAATCAAGAAGCAAGTTGTAGTGTAGTGATAGATCTCCTTTAAATTGACCCTCATGTCTAGTTTTCAAATCTCATTGTGAACATTTTATTTTTTTAGCTTCTCTTCAAAAAAATTCAAACATGCTAAAAGGTCCCAAATTTTTGTACCTATAAACTATATACCACTACTTCCTTAGAATTGTATTTTGTTGGCTTACTCACACATTTATATTTTATTTTTCAAATTTTCTAGAGGAAAATTCTGGATCCGTCACTGTGGTAAGTATTCCTTCATCCTTAACTAGAGATTTCAAGTTTGCGTCCCTCTGAATACGAAATTGTCTTTGTTAGGAAGCCTTTTAACCCTAACGTGGGACTTCCCGATGAACGAGTACTATTCAGTGCAGGTTGTGGCTTGGGACACAAATTTTGGACACCAACAAATAACTTGTCGAACATATAAAACATATCATGTCCAATCTGTAACGCAAGTGGTCTATGTATTGCAACTTGCAAGTGTCAGTTAACTTAGGGCCCGTCTCAATACTATTCAGAATTTAAATTAGATCGATTAAATTGTTAAAGTGTTTACTATTAAACCTATTATTATATATATACTTTTGAAATTATAAATAATTTTAATATTCGAAAATGATGAATTCAATTGAATTCATAATTTACTTATACATCTACCATTGTATATATTGTGATAAAAAATTGAATCCAAGCTTCATGTAAGTAATTGTAAAATATCAGGACAATATTCATTATTCAATGTATATGTACTTTAGTACTAAGTAAATACTTAAATAAATAAATAAATATATAGTGGTGCATTTGCATTTGCATTTGCTGTTGCAAATTCACATCTTTCTTCTAATTGAAATATTATAATAAAGATTAGGTAGTTTATAACGTTTCTAAAATACATGAATTTTCGTTTACGTTTTGAGTCAATGAGAGTAGAAAAAGAGAGCATGACATGACATTATCATAAATAAAATATTTAACGGTGATAATAAGTATCAGTATTTATAACTAGCATTCTATATAAATGTCGTTAAAAACTTTAGTGATCGACTCTGGATGCAATGACATTTACTCAGCAACCACTAAATATTTTTTCGGCACCGTTACATGAAAAATCTATATATAACTACTATGATCTTGGATTTGTCTCTTAATCATTGGTAACAATATGAAAACTTGATTCCCTTCAAGAACTTATGGCTATAAGCTAGTATTTGGTAAGGTTCCAAAGCTTTATTTAAATTAAAATACTTTAAAGAAGTATTAGCTCTTAATGGACTTGGAATATATATATATATAAATTTGTTCCATCAAGGCTACGTGCTAGAAGTGATGGAATCTTTTATTAAAGAACAAATTATAGTAGTTTCTAGGAAGATTTTAGCTATTAAAATATGTTTATAAGGGACACTAAAAGTCTAGAAATTAGACATTTTATAACAATCAATGCATCAGCAAGATGTTCATGTTTTTAAAATAATCCTTGATTCCTGCAATAAAAATATTTAAAAACGATGGGGTATGTCACAATGTCAAATTTTACAAAATTAAATAAAAGACAAATTGTCAACATCCTTTTTTTTCAGGTAAACTTGCATTAACTAAAGATGTGTAGAAAATCGAGAAAAATGTGTATATTGTGTAATATTTATAATTCACTATTTTTTTTCGTCTGAAAGGTAAAACTTGCATTAATTAAATATTTGTAGAAAATCGAAGAAAGTGTGTATGTTATGTAATATTTGTAATCCACTATTTTTTTGTCTGAAAGGTAAACTTGCATTTACTAAAGATTTGTAGAAAATCGAAGGAAGTGTGTACATTGTGTAATATTTATAGCTCACTATTTTGGCCTGACTCATCTAATGTGTGTCTTCTGATACTTTGCTTAGACATTGAACAAATTAAAATAGGTTGAGCACAATACCTGAGTTTGTCATCATCAAAAAAGAGAAATTTATTGAGTTAAGGTTTATCTTGATGAAGGACAAAGTGTTGAAACAAGTACATAAAATATGAAACAATGTTAAATCTATGTTAAACTTGAAGTAGGATAAACGATCTGAAAGTTTGTTGTAATGTAGTAATTAGAGTCAGTTCCGAGATTGCAAGTGTGGTAATCTAAATTCTGTCGAAGCTCATTAATCAGTAAAGATTAGGAGAAATCCTACAAAGATGTAGGTCGTGATTTTTTTCCACCCTTATGAGTTGGATGTTTTCACGTAAAAATATTGTGTTCTTATTATTATTTGCATTGATTTCAACTAAGTTATTATAGTAAAACACATAGCTTAACCTGGTCCATAAAAGAGTTAAGGGTGTATAAAATATCAATCTATCATTTATGAGGTATCGAGAAAACCCTGTTGAGAGCATCACCCCTGAATTAACCCTGCAATGTGGACACTGAATGGTTCAACAAAGATCTTCATCTCATTCCAAATGGACCTATACAATACATACAACATATTATTGGTGTAAATTAAAAAAGGAAATGTAGCACAAAGGCTTCATTTCCCTTTATATGATCTTGAAGTGAAAACTCAATAATGTGAGAACCAAGATTGATCCTCAATTTGAAAACCCAAATGACAAGAATTAACAGGTAAATCATCATGATGATGATCTTCTTCAAGTTTTGGGAAGCATAATGTGTCATTTTCTTGAGAAAAATCAGAGTGTTCTGTCTGAAATACATTTGAAGAATCAGCAGGCTCCAAAAATGAAGTGTAATCGCCGTCAGTAAAACGCGGGCTGTCTGAATCAAGAACATCACTTTTTGTATCTTCTTGCTTGCACACCACCATTGCTAAATTTGAAGCAACTCCAATAGAAGGATTTTGAGGTTCTACATGATCAAGTGGATTAATAGGTTCTGAAGTTTCCTTCCCTTTTACGCTGTTGATCAACTTATCTTTGAGTAAATGTACCTATTGAACACAAAAGGGAAAAAAAAGGGAAGACCTAGATCAAATTTCGTGATTTTTAGAAATTTAAGAAGTTTGGTTGTGAAATCTTTTCACTTTTTTCAAAGTTGAACTCTGAAAGACACGTTTGACCAAAATCATTAAAACATGGTCAAACACGCACAAATTGTGGTTTCTGAAGTTGTGTTAGGAGTTAGGATATGCATTTACTTGGACAAAATTGAATTTTGTGAGTAGAACTCCCAATCACATTTTCAAAGTCTGATCAAATTTCACGGCCAAACAGATATCCTAAACATAAATTTTCAAAAACTACTCTCAAAATCTACCTTTGTACCCTTCTAATAAGTATCATTTTAACTCATGATCTCAATATTTTCAAAAAATTAAGTTGAAATATGATCATATATTCAAATAATGTATAAATGATTTCTTGACTAAATTTACCTCATTTCTCAAGCTCTCATTCTCTTTGAAGAGACAATCATATTGAGTCTTTAGTTTATCAAAGCTAGCTTTAAGGACATCATAATTCTTCTCAAGTTGTTTAGTCTTGCACCGGGCACGTCGATTTTGAAACCAAATAGCAACTTGCCTAGGCTGCAATCCAGTTTCTTTAGCTAATTGTACTTTCCTTTCAGGTTCAAGCTTGTTTTCTACCTCGAAACTTTTCTCAAGAAACTCAACTTGCTTTGGTAACAATCGTCTCTTCTTTTCACTTTGGTGATAATTGTAATTGTCATCGTTGCTGTTATTATCGTCTTGATCAAGTTGTACTAAAAATGACCTCATTTTAGACTTTTGTACTTGATCTTGGTCGAAATTTACCATGGATACAGAGCCTGAAACAGAGCAATGAAGGAAACAAATATTGGTTCATTTCAATTTCACAAATGCATGACGAGATCACGAGGTGGAAAATCGAACATTCACTAATAACGAGGTGAAAGCTCAGATAGTCAAATAGTCCGTCAATTGAGCTAATAAGCTTTTTATATTAACATGAGAAAACAAAGCCAACTACATATGTACATAAGATTTGTTATTTTTTTCTTGAAAAAAAAAACACAAGTAGGATAATAACAAGGCAGCTAAATTAAACAGAAAATTCCATCATTTCCTTGTCAATATTTACAACTTTAGGCTATAATCTCTTAATCATCAAAGGATCACCCCACACATCAGTGACGAAATCAGAATTTTCACTAACTCAGTTCAAAATATGAAAAAATAAACACACGAACTAGCTGAAAGGGGTTGAGAACTACTATACATACATAAAAAGTACTCAATTTTTACCATGTATAAATAATATAATTTTTCGGCGAAGGAACCTTACCATGGAAAATGGAGGAAGAGTTAGATACCCAATTAGAAGTAGGAGGAAGAATTTCATTTGGAGGTATAAAGCAATTGTTAGAACCTTCATAAACTCTTGCTACCTCCATACTATCTTCTAAATTTTTTTGGTACTAGGAGTTTAGAGGAGAATCAAGAAGTGAAAAATTGGACTATTGAATTGTTAGTAAGAAAGTTGTGATAAGTACTATAAATGAGGATCACAATTAATATTGAAAAAAAGAAGTAGAAGTAGACAAGGAAGATGAAAACTCAGCATAGAGAAAGAGAAAATATAGAGGAAAATATGGAAGGGAGATTTTTTGAGGGTAAGAAGAGCTACAAGGGGGTTAGTAAAAAGCTAACTATATAGAAGTGACAAGAGGAGCTTGATGTGAGTTTACTATTATGCCCTTGCACTTGAAAATTTGACACTTTGTTTGGATGTTCGTTATCGTTGCTTCCTAATGTATTGTATTGAATTATTTTAATGAATATAATGTTTCGATAGATTGTATCATTCTATCTCGTTATATAATGTCACAAATCTATAATTTGAATGATAATACTTAGAAAGATAGGATACATGATAGAGCTTAATTAAAATGTGAGGTCGTTATATTATGGCAAAACCAAATCAACTGTTACATAAAATGAGACTTTTTGTTGTTATCTAATGATGAATTTAAAGAATATGATATATTAAATTTAAGTAAAAATCAAAATAAGTGTTTAAACTAATAATATAATATAATAGTTAACAACTATCCAAACAAGATATATATTATTTTAGTATAAATCTTTTCAAGTATTTACATCAAATCAATAAATGAATTAAACATAAAAGTAATGTGTCTTAGTTCAGTTTTTAGGACAATAAATGTAAGTTATTTGACCCGTTTATAACAAACCTTGTCATATAAAATGGAACGAAGGATAGTCATTAATATAGTACTATTTTATCATTGAAAGTCATTCAAACAATTTTAAATCGAATTAAAAACCTATTTGTTCAAGCTTTTAAAAAGTTACCTTATATTAAAAATAAATATTTTATTTTACTTATTCTTTTCCTCCCGTCTATGAGAGATTTATTGTTGACAACTTCAAAAAAAGAAAATAAGTGAAAAAGTAAAGAGATAAAAAGTTGCATAGGCCTAAAAAATCATGATAAAAAGGGCAACTTCAAAAGATAAAAATTAGGTACTTAAAAAAGGGTCCAAGATATCTGTATTTGTAATCAAGAATTTGTAATTAAGAAAAATCCACTATATCACCGACAGATATGATGTAGTAAATGAAGTTATTTCTCGAATTCGAGATTCAGATATGAAAAGATCTTTGATAAAATCGCTCTCACCCCTCACTCCGAATGAAGCTCTAAGCAATCTGAATCGAAATAGTGAGCTTTTATACAGATACCAACACCGTGTGATAAACCAAAAAAAATTGTGGCTTTCCAATTCCAAAGTGTTTTTGCCACCTCTCTGTTGTGCCCATGCCTAATTCATTGAACTACTAAAGAACCCTTTTAATAAAATTGAAAATAAATAAATAAATATTTTAAATGTTTTTGATTGGCTGAATTGGGTGGTCAATTTGATCACATGTATATCTGCAAAGTATCCCTCAACTGGTACAGCCCTTTACTTATTAAAAGAGTTTGTGCCCCCATTGATGTGAACTACACTCTCCTAATCGAAAATATCTTCATTCCTTCCGTTCTACGAGTAGGCGTTTGGATATAAAAATTGTGATATATAAAAGAATAGCGAAAGAAATAAAAAAAAAACTAAGAATAGTAATCATAGTATGAAAAAAAGTAATAAACGTTGATGATTTACTAAAATAAACAAGTTAAATTAAAAAATATCCTTATGACTATAAGATTGTTCTAAATGTATAGTAATTCATTATAGCAAAAAAAAATCGATACATAATCCTTTCACAAAGAAAAAAATCAGATATACCCTTAAACTATGTAAAATGGTCGAGAATTTACCCCTCAATTTTGTGAAATTATGCGAATTTCACCTTTTTTTGGTCATCATAAAATTAGGGCCGAATATATTATAAAGTAATGACAAGTTATATGGACAAACATCATTTTTAAAAGGTTTTCCTAAATATATTTATGGTCAGATGGATCTCAAGTTATTGCTGAGAAGAAACATTATAAAACTTGTGTGGCTATTCCTTTTAGGGCAAACATTACATTATCAAATGGTTTTCCCTAAGTTCCACCCTTTTGTTTTGTGTAACCTTATTTTACAAATCATGTTTGTTCTAAAAGAGAAATTTATTTGATACTTTAAAAGGAATAATATTTTGATTTTAGCAAATAATTTAAATATCTATTAGGCTGACTTTAACTAATAATGAAAAGGCTGTTATCTTTTGTTTCCTTAACCAAATTTAATAAAATAGTGAACTTTTTATATCATCAAATCGAGTAAGTAATCAGAGTAGAAAATCACATAGGAATTTTAGTCCCCAAAATTAGAAAATCACAAAGATTTTAGTCTTTTAAAAAGCAGAAATATTAATGTATATAAGTATTTTAATTTTAAGCCAACAAAAGTCTTTACGTATATAAAATTCATATATTATATATGTGAAGTTATTCTATAGTGATCAACCGTGCAATAATTTTGAATAATGGAGTATTTACAAATCAAATAGTGATATATCCAAATAAGTTGTGTGTGAACTTTTACATTTTATAATGGAAAAACTTATCAATATGTACTGTTCAACTAATTTTTTTTATTAATATGACCGAAATATATGAAACATATACCACTAATTATGTATATTATTATATATAAATATGTATATTATACTTTAATATATAATATTATTATTTTGTAATCCAAAAACATTAGATTATAATTACCCCAGAATATATATATGTCTAATCAATCATTTTCAAGTGGACCTCTGTCTGGAGGACTTGATGACTCACAATTTTTCCCTTCTCCCAAGTATTAATTTAACTATAATTCATGAGAGTTCATTGAACTTGTAATACAATCCAAATTCCAATTAGACTTTAACTAATAAATTGTCACGTGTCAACTTAAAAAAATATTTCTTCCATTTTAAAGAGAATGGTCTAATTTGAGTTTGATACATAGTTTAAGAAAATTAAAAAAAAAAATCAATTTTATAATTCTAAATTTAAGTTATGTCAAATGTGTAAAAATGTTCTTTACTTTTATGATCATAAATATACCACGTGGAAAATTGAAATTAAAATATAATTAAAAAAATCATCATCTTTTTAAAACAAACAAAAAAAAAATCATATCTTTTTTAGATAGGAGTATCATATTTCATCATCTAAAATACTCTTTTGGGTTCTTCCATGCTATTGTGTAACTAGCACGTTTTAGTTTGAATTTTAAAAGAATTTTAAAAAATGACAAAAAAAAATTAAAAGAGTTTTCGGATGCTATATTGATAAACAAATCGTGAATTAATCGAGAATAGTTATTAGGAAGCGTCTCGTTTGTATTGAAATCGAAAATCCGGAATGATCCATCTACGAACATCCAGAGTGTCCGGACGGACAGTGACGGAATCACATATACTTAAGAAGAGTCGATCAATATTTTCCATCAAAAAATTACAGTATATAGCTTGTAAATATGTATTTCTTTATGTGTATATATTACAACGATGAGATACATGAGATTCTATTTATATTCATTTAAATACTCACTATTTTATATATCGAGAAAGATACAATTAGATACATGTATTTTTGCTACTAGATACACTAAAAAATAGGAAGAGACGCGAGTGAGATAGTCACGTATTCTAGCTAGATACATGAGAATCACAGTATATACATGTATATATATATCTAGTTCGATTTGCATGTATCTGGAATATCATATAGATATGAGAGTTACAAGCGAGATGGGAGGGAGGTGGGCGAGATTTGTTATTTATCTCAAATACATGCGAACCCACTTGTATACAATGTATCTAGAACAAATTACACCTAATTTTGACCCATGTATCTCGAGATACATGTATCTGAACACATCAAAATTTGATAAAAATTCGTATTATTACAAACTGGAGTGTATCTAACTAATTAGCTCCTAAACTAATGAAATTTCGATAAGTTTCCCAATAACACTTTATATTATTTCAGTAAAAAGCCCAATTCTAAATAGGGATCTACCATATGGTCCGTGGGCCTTGAACAGTAGTGCCATTGGTCTTCTTCTTTGGCCCACAGTTGTGACCCAGCAATTGGAGGACCAAGTACCCACTAACATAAGCCCATCTAACTCATGGCCCAATTAATCAAGTTCTAACATATATGTGGTGTGTATCTAAATTAATTAATTAGTAATAATTCAGATACACAGTAGTGCCATTTGTTGTTGCTTGAAAAAATGTGGAAGGAATTCAAATTTATAGAGAAAAAAATAGGAGTTGAGATATCGAAGATACTCAAAACCAAAAAAATGTTAAAAATGTGATTTTCTCCTTAAATTATACATTTCGATTACGTTCTTAATTAATCACTTGTTTCTTATGTATCTGACTTAAATATATTTCGAATGCATATATTTGAAAGTGTCAGAATTATGTATCCAACATTCGAGTTCTGATAGAAATAGTAAGATTTGAAACTAACGTGAAGAGAAGTAATTTGCTCTTATTGTTTACCCTTTTCAATATTTATATGCCCAAGTTATTTAAGCTTTTCTAAAGGTCCGTTTGACCATAGAGATAAAATCATGATATGAAATTATAGGGTCAAAATTAAATATGATTTAATCTGCATGTCTTTATTCCACTCTTGTCAATCTTTCGATCATTAATAAAGTTTCAAGAATAACATACGCCTTCTCGCAACAACCCAAATGTGCTTTCAGACATGCTGAGCACATATTTTTGTCCAATAAAAAAAGTTCGATTCCGTAAAAGATGAGATTAGTAATGATAACTAGCTGAAATTTCATCAACATTTTTCTTTTTCTTTGAATAATCTATTCTCATTATCTTTAATAAGTAAAGTAGTCAAATCTATAGGTCCTTAGTAGCTATGACAAAGAAGTACCCAATTAAATGAAAGCAAATCTTTTCATTTTTCTTGTATAATCTATTACTCCCTCTGTCCCAATTTATATGACTTACTTTCCTTTTTAGTCAGTCCCAAAAAGAATGACACATTTCTATTTTAAGTAACAATTTGCCTATAAAATGTCTTTTTTACCCTTAATGAAATGATTTACAACCACACAAATTTCTATCATTCATTTTGGACCACAAGTTTTAAAAGTCTTTCCATTTTTCTTAAAGTTTGTGCCAAATCAAAG